GGGGGGGGAGTGGCTGCGATCAGACGGCATCACGGATGAACGCCTCGAGCCCCTCCTTCCTGGTGTGTGCGTGGGCCAAACCCACTGCCGACCTGAGTTGTGCCTCCCGCGCCTCATGCAGACCTAAAGATGGGTGGGTACGGCCCGTGACCGTCTGAGCCTCTCAGCTGTCTAGGCCTTGTTTCTTGTGTTTTTGTTTCTTTTCTTTTCTCTGCATCTTTTCTTTTCCTTGGCCCATTTTCTTTCTTTTTCACTGACCCGGTGAGGATATGACAAGCAGGTGCGACGGGTGCGACTAGTGCGACTGGTGCGACTGGTGCTTCCCATTCCGACGGTGTGAGGTGATGGCGGATGGGCAAGGTCTCGCTCCGCTCTGGCAACTGGGCTCTTCCCTGGAGGTCTGCATGTTTCTCGCGCTCTGGAGATGCTCCCAAGACCCGCCTTGGACCAGTCATATCTGTCAAAGCATCCTGCCTCGCGCTTTGGGGCCCGATCTGCCACGCGCGAGGGCTTATTCTCAACTTTGATAATGGGGGAGTGAGCATAGCTGCTGCCAGGGATGCTTTGTGACTCCCACTCCCCATTTTGCAGAGACAAGCGCGGCAAAAACTGTGCCGAGATGGCCCGTTTCCGTTGGAGTGCTATGTACAAAGCAAGTACTTTGAAAAGGGGCTGCGTGATGATGCATGAGCTCGGCCTCGTCCACGCATCCAGCGCACAGGCACACACACCTGGACGACGGCGGGATGTAGTGCGCCGTGCTGGCTACATCTCCAGTGAGACGAGTACACGGTTGCATGCTGAAGGAGAAAAAGCAAAGAAAAGAAGGCGATGGAAAAATGTGAGGACCAGAAGAAGCAAAGTCGCGCACATTCGATGGCTGTCAAACTCAGGCAGGAGGATACGCTCACACGCACGCTCCCGGTAGGGTGCCTCGCCCTCCTGCGGTGCATCTTGGATGCGATGCTACCCCAAGGACTCCAAGGACTGGGCAAGCAGATCAGGGCGGCCATTCCATGTGAGGCCTCAGTCCCCTACCGACTTTTTGCGCATTTATGTGCACCACGGTGGTTTCCCTGTCACGCCCGATCGCTCCCGCGCCTCGCAGGCCGGAACCGAAGGTCACGGCGGTAAAACCGAAAACTCGGTGAAAGGGGTGGCGGCCACCCAACGCGCTTCCCAGAGCGCGCGCTGCAATGCGCCATGTCAATGGTCCAAAAACTTCCCGACCTACATTGGTCGGCACCTGCAGAGCAGCACACACACACACACACACACACACACACACACACACACACACACACACACATATACACGAGATGGTGGCTGAGCTCTACCGCCTTTTCATTTTCCAACCGTTTCCTGCTTTTGGTTGGGCTTTTCCACTCCTCGTCGCTCGGGTGGCGGACGCAAACCATTTCGCTTTGCGCCTTGCCCGGCCTTCCCGGAGGCCTGCTCTTCACTGCTCTGACTTGCTGCTCGCTTTCTTGGGCTCGACGCTGGGAGTTGCCCGATAGACTGCGCGCGCCTTCACATCTTGGGCTGCTCTGGCGTCTTGATGACACCCTCTTGAGAATTTCTACCCTGCTCACATGCTCGCCTCTACTCGTCTGACTCCTCTCCGCCAACACGGAATATTTCAATCCAATCGCCTTGCAATGCACCGTTAGTGATGGTAGCAGCATTGGAATACGGGAAGGCGGCGAAGAAAAAAAGGAAGCCATGCCGTTCTCAGCTGAAGAGGCGCAGCTCGCTCCTTCCACCTTCTGGGGACGAGCTAGACAGCATGCAATCAAGTCACGTTGCTTCGCCATTGGGCGCCAACGCCGACAGCATGACGAGTTTTTTTTTTTTGTTTTTTTTTCCTTCTTTTTCCCTTCTCTCTCCCAGTTTTCCGCTCGCCAGCCCTGTCGCCCTATCCTTCCTTTTCTGGCGATTAAACTTTGGGGCATGGAACAGGGGCGCATCAATGTGTCCAGCCGCGCGCGGGAATCAGGGGCCACCCGCAACTCCCTCCGCCTTCCCACCTTCCTTTGACTGCATATCCGCCACACACACGCACATTCACTCTTTTCTTTTACTCCTAGGTCCCCGATCCCTCAAGCATCGCGGGGCTGCATCATTGATTCTTTTTCTTTTTCTGGCTTAAAGCGGAAAAGACGGTCGGTCCACTGTCGATCAGGCCGCGAACCTGGTCAGGCTATCCAAGTGTCATCATACAACGCCCTTGGGCAGGTGAGCTAGGCCTCCAGCTCATCGATGCCGCCGCCTCCCTCATCCGAAAGCAGTGACGTTTACCTTGGCCCGACCTCCCAGGCCAGCCCGTGGCTGGTGCCTTGGAAGGACATGGCTCCTGCATCTCCCTCGTTTTGGGCATGGTAGGGCGGGAAAATGGGGGTCGGGAGGTGGACACGAGGACACTGGAACGGACCGACTGGCAGCGGAGCACGGGACTTGCTGCGGCAGGAGCGCATATATATCGCGTTCAACATATACAGAGGTGTGCCTGGGAACAGGCAACCTCGGGTGTGGTATCTAGAAACTAATCAGAAAAGAAAATGCTTATCCAAAGGTCCAAAGCCGGGATGACCCTTGGAGGGCAATGGCAAGAAGGAAGACGGATTATTGTGACAGGTAACAAAGAGAAGTAGCCGGGCACAACCCGTCTTGTTATGACAGGGTGTAACCCACGGAACAAGACGGGAGGGCAAGGAGAAAGGTGGGAGGAGAAGAATCAGAACTGAGAGAAGTGGTGACCGCGGGGTAAGGAAAGAAAAAAGACGCAGCAAACCAAGCCGCAGTTCGCTGTGCTGACCGGTATCCGAGCGAATCCACAGCCTGAAAGAACCCACCCGACCGACCGACCGACCGCCCCGAAAAAAAAAAAGGGTGCCCATGGAGGGTGGTACATGGTCGGCCCACCCCTCCCCCATCCATCTCTGTCAGTCCAGCGTCTTGTCCGTCTCCTGGTCTCCTTCTCCCGCGTTCCACGTCCTCTCTTCTCTCCCTCTCTCCACCGCCAAATGCCTCCCCCCCTCATAGGTAGCACCCCCCATCAGTTGACGCAAGGTTCATCCTTCTTGCGTCAGGGACGGGGCAGGACAGGCTGTCGGCCGCTGAACCGAGAGAGATAAAAACAACAGAAGCACGCGGGAGTGGAGTGCCTGCCCACCAAGGCTCTTGGAAGACGCGCCTGCGGGCATAGTGGGCCTGTTGGCAGCGTAAGTCCATGCCACGCCTTTGGCACAGCACTCGGCCCTTCCCCTCCAGGTGTCCGATGGCTCACAGACCAGTTTCCAGGTAAGACAAGACCCCAAGAGCGATGCTGGCCTCGAGCCGAAAGAAACAAGGAAGGCAGGACGGTAGGAAGCAAGGTAAAACGCATTTTAGGAAGAAAAGCAGATATCCGCACACTAGAATAGAATTAACCACCACAATGCCATCCCCTTGGTTTAACAAACATTTTTCTGTTGTCCATCGCTCTCATTCTGTTATGGGCGGTCGAGGAGGTAGGAAAATACAAAAAAAAAAAAAAAAAGA